GAATCTGAAGCAGGCTCCAAGTTCTGAGCCATCAACACAGAGCCCAACGCAGGGCTCAGACTCACAAACTTCGAGCTCATGATCTGAGCCGAAGTCAGACGCTTAACCAACTGAGCCACCCAGGTGCCCCTTCATCTCCCTTTTCTGTAGAAATTCTTTGAGTCCAAAGATAAAAGTGGGTTCTTCCAGAAAGGGTCTGTGCTTGATTCTGTCAGGCACTAGAGAACATTATCTTCCAGGGACCACTGTACATCTTCACCTTGAGGTTCTGAAGTTCAGGCTGCAGCCTGTGTGGAACCAGCTTGGGTTTAAGATTTCTTGTGGATGGAGGTAGAGAAGGAGTTCCCCCCATTCTCCGTGCCAAGATTTAAGATAGGCTACTTTCGGGGCACCTGGGTGGCTCTACCCGTTGAGCATCCAACTTCGGCTCAGGTTATGATGTCATGGTTCATGAGTTGGAGCCCCAGGTTGGGCTCGCTGCTGTCAGTGCAGAGCCCATTTTGGATACTCTGTCTCCCCCTCTCTCTCTGCTCCTCACCTGCATTGTATCTCTCTCTCTCTCTCTCTCAAATAAATAAACATTAAAAAAGAAAAAGGCTACTTTCTTTGTAGACTGCTGGAGGTGAGGGTGGTATTTTATTTTATTTTCTTTTGTTGTATTTTATTTGTTGTGTGTGTGTGGGGGGGGGAGTTGTATTTTAAATTTATCTCTTCCCTGAGGGGTGGGCCTTCAGAACCTCGTATTTGTGAGGGGATGTCCCATTAAAATCTTGACATTCTGCAGGCCCCAGGGCCTTGCTAGGCCATGAAGTCAGTCAAAGTTATCAGGTCTGGCAAGGTGCCTTTGGCACTCTTCTCTGGTCCTTGTCCAGGGATTGTTTACTTTCTTCCCAGATCACAGATACATTCAAGAAGACACGTCTCATATTTCATCTGTCATAATTAGCCGTTCTCAGAGGGAGACTCAGTAGGGTTACCCAGTCTGTCATGTTACCAGACATGAAAGCCATTCCTCTAACTCCCAATTTATCAGTTAACAAAAACTGTGAAAGAAAGGTTTAAGGTGAGGGAGTCTTTTGGAAAACTCAATGTTTTTCTATTTTAAATTATATTTCCTAATTTTTTAAGTTCACTTATTTTTTGCAAGAGAGAGAGAGAGAAAGCACGTGCATGCAGGGGAGGGGCAGAGAGAAAGAGAGACAGAGATTCTCAAGCAGGCTCTACGCTGTCAGCACAGAGCCTGACTCAGGGCTCGATCTCACCAATCATGAGATCATGACCTGAGTCAAAACCAAGAGTTGGATGCTTCACCAACTGAGCCACCCACGCGCCCCTTTAAATATATTTTCTAATCGACAATTGATCCACATGATACAACACTGAAATGGTACCTCAGTACATGTCCTTAAAGTTTCCTTCTCACCCCTCACCCCCTACAGCTCCCCATTTCCCTCCTCTCTCAGAGAGGGGTGGACCTTCAGAACCTCATATTTGTGAGGGGATGTCCCATTCAAATCCTGTCATTCTTCAGGCCCCAGGGCCTTGCTAGACCATGAAGTCAGTCAAAGTTATCAGGTTTGGCAAAGTGCTTTTGGCACTCTTCTCCACACACATAAATATTCTTTACATCCTTCCTCTACTCTATACCTTTTCAAAAACACAAATAATGGTGTGTTATTCTTCACCTAACAATAGATCTTTGAAATGGTTCCCAGCTAGCACATAAAGAGCTTTTCCACCCTTTTATATGGTATGTATGTTCACAGTATTCTGTTATATGAATGACATAGCGTATTTAAGCAGATCCCTATTCATGGGCATGTAGGTTGTTCCAAAGTTTCTAAATAGTGCAGCAGTGAATAACCTGGCACAGATGTCATTTTTGCTGCATGAGTATGTCTGTGGGATAAATTCATGAAGGGGAATTCCTGGGTCAAAGGCCATGTGCATTTGTAACTTTGATAGAGAGACCAAATTGCTCTGCATAGGGGTTGTAACAGTTTATAACTTTCATCAGCAGTCCTATTAAATTGTTGATCTTTGTCAGTGGTTAAAAACAATATCCAATAAACAAGAAAAGAGCTTGTTGACACTCTGGAGAAGTAACGAGTAGGCAGAGGGCCTGAGAAAATAGTGTGACCCTTGTTGTTCCAGAAAGCTAATCCATCAAATCAACTTTTGGGATCCCCAAATAGACTGGATTAAAATGGAAAAGAGCAAAGAATCTTAGCAAAAAAAAAAAAAAAATCCTCTCTGACTTAGAAGATTTTTTTTTTAATTCTTGTCTTCCTTCTGAAACAAATTCTGATAAAGACCCCTAAGCCTCCAAAGTCAGTTGAGTACAGAAAGTTTAACACAAAGGAATTTCCCTCTTGTCCTGCCCGGAAGAGGGATATTTACAATCTCTGCTCATGGCTAACATGGTATCCTAAGAATTAGTTTCCTTTGTTTTAAATTCCATTAGGTGGGAGAGCATAAGGGATTTTCTAGACCAACACTGTCACAGGATTTTTCTGGGATGCTTAAAATGTTTTGTGTCTAAGTCATCTCATATGGAACCCCCAGCTAGGTGTGGCTATGGAGCCCTGGTAGTGTGGCTAGTGTGACTGAGGGATTGAATTTTTATTTTTATTTTATTTTACTTAATTTATTTATTCATTTATTTGTTTAAAAGAGAAAGAGAGAGTGCAAGCAGGGGAGAGGGGCAGAGAGAAAGAGAGAGAGAGAATCTTAAGCAGGCTTCATGCCCAGTACAGAACCTGAAGTG